TATATATATATCAGCCCGGAGGGGATGGCCGGGCCTTCTGAGCTCAAACAATACATTTCAAGAATAACACCACTTACAAACTGGAGCGAAGTCAGCACTTGACAAGTGGGCACGGTTAAGATATAATACTAGAACCCTGCCGTGGTGCAGGCTGCCCTGCCAGGTCCCCGGGCTCACAGCTCCCGTCCTGTGTGGGGTGGGGCCGGCTGGAGGGCTCCATCCCAGGCACCCGTGGGGGCACCACGAAAGGCTGCGGTTCCCGCTGCTACTTCGGGGGTCCTGGTCTAGGGGGACGGTCGGCTCTCCAGTGGTCAGTGAGTGGAGGGAGTCCGCCCCAAGCTCCCAGGTCCCTGTGGGGCTGGCGCTTCACCTTCCACCACCTCCCTTGGGGCTACACCGTCACGTACTCCTTGAAAGTGACAGTGAGGCAGTTCGCAGTGACATCCGTGATAATTATATTCCCAAAAAAGGGCTTGAACTCGGCCAGCGGCTCCTCGGGTTCGTCCTGGGCCTCAGCAGGAGGCTTCTCAGCGGCTGTCGCCGGCACCGATGCCACGGCCACCGCCGCCGTCAGCTCCTCTGGCTTTACCTGGCGGGCGCCGGGCGGGTCCCCCGCCTCGCCTCGCGTCTTGACGCAGCGCAAGTCTATGGGCTCGTCCAGATCGGAGTCCAGCAGGATGACTTCGGGCTGGGGGAGGGCGGCGGCGGTGGGCGGCACGTCTGCGGGGTGCTCCGCGGCAGGGCTGCCCCCCAGGCAGGTGGGGGTGCTGATGCTGCGCGCCGTCAGGCGCTTCTTGCAGGGTTCTCGCTCGCCGTGCGTCTCAGAGAGGCAGCGCTTGCGCGCGTGGGAGAGGTTGAGGCCGACTGCGTGGTGGTGGTGGTGGTGGTGGTGGTGGTGATGGTGGGCAGGCGGGTGCGCGCTCCGGGCCGGGTCCCAGGTCAGCAGGTCAGGCTTGGTGGTGAGCTGCAACGGCTTGTCACCGAAGGCCTCCTTGGCGGGGGACAGCTTTCGGGAGCCGTTGTCTGGGGGCTGCGAGTCGCCGGCCACAGGTGCCTCGTCCTCTCTCCTCTTGGAGGGCGTTTCCGCCTTCTTCTCCTCTGCGCCCGCGGCCTTTTTGAAAGTCCTGTCGGCCGGGGCGTGGCGCTCCTCAGCGGCCGCGCGCTGCTTCTTGTGGCTGGGGGAGCGCGCCTCGCCTTCCGCCTCTGCAGACTTGATCTTCACGGCCTGCATGCCGTTCTCCATGTACTTGCTCATCACAATCACAATGCGCCCGTTCTTGTTCTTGTTCTTGACGATCTTCATCTTGCCCCCGATCCCGTTGCCCGTCACAGCCTCCTTGGGGGCTGGCGTCATGCCGTTGGGGGGGCCCTTCTCCGCACCCTTGCCCGGCACCCCGGCCGCCCCGCCCAGAGGCTTGACGGCTCCCAGGTAGCCCTTGGCCCCTGCGCCGTGCGCCCACTTGTCCGGCGGGTGGCCCTTGGCGCCCAGGTCCGGGCAGGTGGGGCTGGGTGCCTCCTTGTGGCCGCCCTGATACTGCAGGTCGTACATCTTGGGGTCCGGCTGGTAGGGGTGGTGTTTCTTGCTGTTGAGCTGGTAGTAGTACTTGCCGCTCTTGCCTGGCGGCGGGGGCTTGCCTGCCCGCTCCTTGCTGTGCGGCTGGTACTGGTGGTGCTTCTTGCTGTTGAGCTCGTACTGGTGCGCCTGGCCCTTGCCCTGCGCGCCCAGCTCCAGCTTGCCGCGGTTGTCAGCAGAAGAGTCCTGGAGGCCGCTCAGCACGTTGGAACGCCGGGCAAAGGTGGGCACCTGTGGGAACCAGAAAGCCCCAGAAGTGAGGGGAGGGAGCAGGGCATGCCGGGAGTCTCAGGCTTCCCAGCCCCCACTCATGCACAGCTGCGTCATTGGGGGGCTGGGAGGTCATGCGGAAAGGAAGCGGAATGTGGGTGTCCGGGAGGAATCCCCACCACCCTCGGCCCTGGAGGCAGCTCCGGAGGCAATGCCAAGGGAAGTCTCCTGGGCACTCACCTGCACCACCAGCGGCTTGGGCTTCGGGCCTCGCTTCCGATACCCCATCAGCTGCTCCTGGCGTTCCCTGGGGGACGGGACAGAGGGCAGAGCCGTTAGCCTGGGGTGGGCTTCCTTCCTCGCCAAGCCACAACCTGCAGTGACCTTGGTGAGCCGTGCGTAGGCAGGGCACCACAGACCCCAGAGGGATAACGAGCAAAGGGCAGAAGGCCGCCTTTGCCAGCAGCTGGGCCCCTCAGTCTGCTCCCAGCACCCCGCTCCAGGCCACCCTCATCTGCCCGGGGGTTTCTGGGCAAAGAGCCTTCCCACCTCTGATGTCCCCTCTGAACCAGCGCCCCTCAAGCTCTACCTCTGCACCACTGGGGCAAAGGCATTCAGCTGGATCACGGATGTCCACCGCCTTAGGTCCGTGGTCCCGCGTAAAGTGGAGTGGGGCTCAGAGGTATGGGGACAGCAACCCAGTGCGATGGACCCGTCCCTCTCTGTCAGAGCTAGGGGATGCTAATGACCTCATTAAGATTCAGATAAGTGCAGTGCAGCCGGCGGAAGGGAGGACCCGTTTTCTTGAAGGCCAGGCTCTAAACAGGGGGAGGGGCTGCCCCCTTGTTTACACAACGGCAAATGAGCCAATTAGGGGCTGGGGGCGGGTGCAGACCTGGAGGCCAGGCCCCACCTGGTTCGTGGCCACCTGGTGAACCCCGCCCGCTCGCCTGGAGGGCAGGTGGGCGGGCCGGGGGCGGGGCGCGAGAGCACCGCCTCCTCGCTGGTCTGGCTCCGGGCCGCCAGGGTTTCCAAATTATTAATAGAGTCTGCGGGCGGTGGCGCCGGTCAATACTGCTGCCAGACGTCCGCCTGCGGCCCGGCCGGCGCTGACCCAGCCGAGGCTGCAGATAGACCTGTCCAGGCTGTGCCTGGCTCTCCATGGGCGAAGGGACCGCCTCTCTAGTGTGACCCAAAACTGCAGCCCATTCCAGGCTCCCCAGCGCCCCCCCTACCCGCCGCCCGTGGGCTAAACCCGGGGGATCCCGGGCCCTGGGGTGGGGGCCGGAGCCTGACTCCAAAGTTGCGTGGCATTGCAACAGCCTGCGTTTGAATTCTTCAGGGACCTATTACGCAACATGGCATCAGCCGCTGACATGGTTACAAGGCGGTGAACTCCCAGGTGGAGCGCAGGCGCGCCCCCCTATGTCACGAGCAACTTCCCCGTCGGTCGCCAGCTCAGAGGGTCTAAAGTTTACAATCTGAGCGCCAAACACACCACAGGAAATAATGCAAAATTTTCTAAAAGGTGTGGTGGGAGGGAGTGGTGGAAGACAGCGAAGCTCCCTCCCTTCTCCCCCTCCCCCTCCGGTGCTCCGAAACCGAGGACCTGAGCAGATCCCAGCACGGGTGCCCGCGAGATGAGAAGTCCCCACTGGGCAGCGCCCACCCCACACCCTTCGGGTCAAACTCCCTCTGGGAGAGGGTATCCGGGCCCTAGGAGCGCAGTGGAGGTGGCAGAGGCATTAGAGCGAGACAGAAGCCCCCCTCAAATCCACCCCAGGTTCCGTGAGGGGTGGGGAGTAGAGAGATGGTAAGGCCTGGTCAACTTTTCTCCAGGCCCCAAGAGGTTAAGATCAGTTCAGTGACGTCCGGGGCGGTTTCACAACGCCACCTCCCCAGGAGCTGCCCAGCAAGGTGCCCGTGCCAGGCTGCCAGTGGCTGGGCAAGAGCAGCACCTAGGCCCCAGAGGTGGAGCTGCAGGGCATGACGGGAGCGGGGCCTGGGACCCGGGCGCCCAGAGCCACCCACGAGCCCCCTCCAGCAATTTCCCCCCAAAGCGAACCTGGCCTTCCAGGTCCTGTCCCTACCCCCCTGCAGCAACCGCCAAGGACGTAGGCAGAAGAGCAGCCGAGGTCGCAGGCCGCCCGTGCTGGGCTTGGGGGGGGGGGTCAGCAGGGACAAGCCCCCTCTACGCCCTTCCCCCTCTTTCCTAGCTCTCCCAGGCCCACTTTCCCTTTCCCATATACAGGCACGGTGGCGGGCGGTGGCTGCGGGGGACGCTCACCTGTTCTGGAAGGCGATCAGCAGCCGCGGATCCAAGATGTTCTCCTCCGGTTCCCACGTGTTATATCTTGCAAGGGAGAAGGGAGGGGGACACCGCGTGAAACAAGCGAGCCAGCTTTTCGGCCTCCAGGTGGGAAATGACATAAGGCCTGTCTTTCTGAACCGAAAGCTATTAAGCTGGGCTGTGTGGGCAGGAGGGTGGATATCTGCAGGCCTGACGGTCCCCCCCCATATACTCCCTGATACCCGCCCCCCTCAAGGCAAATAAACACACAGGGGCAGGGAGGAGGGGGCCGAGAGGGAAGTCAGGCCAGCAGTTTATTTTGCAGTTGTCAAGAATTTTAAGCACGTTACTGCGACATGTTCCAAAGCCACTTTGCACACCAGGCACCCTGAGTGCAAAGAAGCAGAATTGCAAAGTCGCAGTCCCCTCCTCCCCTCCCGGCCCCGGGCCTCCCCGCGAGCTGCAGCCGGTCTCCAGTTGACCCCTAATCCGATAACCGTCAGCCAGGCGGCCCCCCCACACCCCCTCGCGGCCCAGGAGTCCGCTGTCACGGGCAAGCAAACCCCAAATACTCAGCAACACAAAAATATGCCTCTGTGTGTGTGTGTGTATGCCTGCGCGCCCGTCTCCATCCGGTGCCATCGCATTTCAAATTAAAAAAAATTCCCTTCCAAAAGCGCCGCAGTGACAGTTCTCAACATTTTCTGCCTTTCTGCGTCCCCTCTCTGCACCACTAGGAGGGAGGCGGCACACAATTGCATTTTCGTCGCTTTTTAATTTTTTTTTTTTTTTTGGTTTTGCAATATGGAGCCGTTCGGTGGAGGGAAAGGGGGAAGGAGCCATTTTCTGCTCACATCAGTCAGTGCCTGCGCCCTCCCTCCCTGCGCCGGCCTCCCCGGCTCGGCCCCGCGTCTCTCCAGCTCCTCCGGCTCCTTTTAGTGCATAAATTAGTGATGGCATTTCCCGGAGAGCCGAGCACAACGCCGGGCGCCCGGCTCGGGCTGGCGGCTCGGCTTCCCCAGTGCCTGCCACCGACTTCCCCACCCCCTCCTCC